TCTGGCTTCTAGACATCTTAATGCACCCTCCACTGGGACATTGGTGAATAATGATTTTACATCAAAAGAAACCATGAGTAAATTACTAGGAGAAATGTTTTTAACCTTTTTTACAAACTCTATTGAATTTTTTATTGATCTTTTATTTTTTATGGTGTAAATGTTATTGTCTAATAGAGTGGAAAATCTAGAAACCAAATATTTAGCTAATGGATACAAGGCAGTACCTAAATTTGATACTATAGGGCGGAAAGGAATACCACTTTTATGAATTTTGGGAAGAGCATACAATCTGGCACAATTCGCAACAGATGGGATAAGCGAATGTTTTAAGTTGCTTGAAATGATTTGCGAAGATTTGATCGCAGTTTTTATTTTTGACGGGTCGGAAGGTGAAGGATCTTTAGGGATCGGATTATATGGTCCTTCTTCGCAAATCTTCGCAAATCATTTCAGGCAACTTAAAACATTCGCTTATCCCATCTGTTGCGAATTGTGCCAGATTATATGCTCTTTCCAAAATTCATAAAAGTGATATTCCTTTTCGCCCTATTGTATCAAATGTAGGTACTGCCTCGTATCCCTTAGCTAAATTTAGTTTCTAGATTTTCAACTCTATTAGAAAATAACATTTACACCATAAAAAATTCAATAGAGTTTGTAAAAAAGGTTAAAAACATTTCTCCTAGTAATTTACTCATGGTTTCTTTTGATGTAAAATCATTATTTACTAATGTCCCAGTGGAGGGTGCATTAAGATGTCTAGAAACCAGACTTCGCGAATTTCATTTCTCTTGCATCGAAATTGATGAGCTAATTTCTCTCACTCAACTCTGTTTGAAACAAAGACATTTTGTTTTCCAAAATAAATATTACAAGCAAACTGAGGGATTAGCCATGGGAAGCCCCCTCAGTCCCATCCTGGCTGATATCTACATGCATTATTATGAATTAAAATTGTTTGAAACTTTAAACTTCCCGGCATGGTCCGCTACGTAGACGATACTTTTACTCTGTTTGAAGGTAATAAAGATGATTTAAATAAAGTTCTTTCAACAATGAATTCTATTGATCCTGCTATTCAGTTCACTTTTGAACTTGAGACTTGCAATTCTCTTCCGTTTCTCGACATTCTGGTCACATGTAACACATCCAACTTCAGTATTACGGTTTACCGTAAACCTTCATCGGTTTGCCTTCCACCACAATTTAAAACCATGTCATCCGACTAAACAAAAGTTAGCTTCATTTTATTCCTATGTTTTCCGTGCTCTTCAAGTTTGCTCCTCCAAACTAGCCCTTGATGAAGAACTAAATTATTTAAAAGCAATAGCTATTGACAGGGGCTTTTCACCCAACATTATTAATCAAGCAGTTAAAAAATTCTCATCTCAACACACTAAAAGGCACACTCTTGTGTTAGGAGATTATAAAAATTATGTTGTCATTCCCTTCTTTCCATCAATTAGCTATAAAGTTGCACATATTTTGCAGAAATTTAACTTTTGGGTTGTTTATTCTCCCATCAATAAAATTCCGAGTTCCATACTTAAGGACCCCATTCCGGATATGAATACCTGGGGTATTTATAGGATTCCTTGCCAGTGTGGTTTAATTTACATTGGCCAAACTAAGAGAGCCTTAAAATTTCGCGTCAAGGAACATGAGGCATATGTTAGAAAAAAGGAAACACAGAAGTCTTCTGTTGCGCAACATTGTTGGTCCGAAGATCACACTTTCAATTTTTCTGCTGCCAAAATTATTCAAAAAACATATTCCATTGGAGAACTGGATTTTCTAGAGTCATTTCACATTCATAAAAACCTTTCTGTTCTAGTTAACGATCCTAATTCCAATCCGAATTTGCCTTCGGCCTTTAAAGAAATTAGGTTTTAGTTCTGGTTTCACCAACAGATGGCACCACTTGCTTATTCTTGTCCAGGCTTTCTTATCTTATCTAATAATTTTTCTTATCTTGTTCATTTTCGGTTTTACAGCTGAGGATGGTGGTTCGGTAAAACCATCGAAACTAGTCCTGTGAAAATTTTGTAAATATAAGGCTGATTTTTGTTGTTTGTCTTCTGAATTAGTATTTGTTAGGCGTGTTATTGTGTCTTTATTAATGCTTGCTTGCCATAAAAAACTTAAGTCAAGAAATTTTATGAAATAAAAAGTGAAGTATGTGAAATATAAGCGTTAAAAGTAATGCAAAGCATAATACCCGCACAGTAACCCTAAAAGATCCTATGCAGTAGTAGAAATAAATAAATAAATAAAGGATTTGAAGGATATAAGAGATGTGGATGTTTTTATCACATGGTGAGTTAAAGATCTAGGCTCTGTTTGTTTCCCTGCTCCCCGCAGCAGCTGGCACCAACATTATACAGAAGTGATCAGACTGAAGGTCAGCATCCTAAACCTATATTCAGTTCAAAAGTAATAGACACAGGATGCTATCGAGTGGTCTTTAAAAAATATTTCAGCTTACAATGACTATCTGCATCACCTGTCTCTTAGATTCACTTTGCAGTGATGCATGGGTGGGGTGCCCGGCTGTGAGAGACATTCATAGGGAATGCATATATGGAATGCCCATCTAGAAAAGGTTAAGTCTGTGCTCTCAAGAAGGGTCTTCTAAACATGTAATTCTGTATTACACCTGTAATTTTCCTTTATTTCTTACTGCAGGATTTGATTGGATTTGAAATATACCACATTTAATTTAAGTGAAGATTGTGCAGACTAACAGCCTTTATTAAAATTTTCCTCGTGACAACAGATAATCTAGCTTGCTTTGTTAATTTTATGTAAAAATTATCCGCAAAGCCATTAAAATGGGAAGTAAAGAGAAACACCGAAGAGCCATTTTCTTCTTAAATTTCAATAGAAACATTTTAAAATTAATATTATTGACTGATTTCATTCAAGTAGGCTGAATCACTATATATGTGTATCTTGCTTTTCATGTTAGTTTTTCATATATGGTAAAGTCGGAGTGGTACATTTGTAGTGGCCCAGTTATTGCATGAGAAATAATTATTTTTATTTTTCATATATTTGTTCATGTGTTTAATTATTTTATAAAATTAACTTTAATATTTTGTTAATATTCATATTTATATTTCTTTTATACTGAATGGCAATAAGTAGTTCATATTTATATTTAAATTTCTTTATGCTGAATGGCAACTAGTTCTAGTTCTGATTCATGATTGCTAGGTTTTGGTTTCAAAACGTTGCTCGCAGCGTCACATTTCGATAGCCGGAAAATAAAATGCAATAACTTAGCTATTTGTTTATAATTCATGCTGTTCCTAGTCATAAATTAATTTTAAACATTAGTAGCCAAGGTCACACATTATGTTCCCAAGATTTTAATATTGAACTGGAAAAAGTATGTAAACTTTTCTCTTTGAATGGAAAATACACTCTTTTGAAAAAAAAAATCGGAGCACCATGAATGAAGTGGTTGTTTTTGATGAAATTGAATATGTGTATAGCTCAAACACAGATAATAAAATGATTAAAAAATCAAGGTCATAGTACCTGTTCATGGCTCACAGTCACCCATTCAGTGTTCAAATTAGTAGTTGGTCGAACCGCTCCTGGCAGCAGTGCATGTTGGAATTCGTCAAGGCAAAGACTGGTAGAGATACCTAATGTCATCCTGTGACACATTCTGCCAGGCATTCATCAGTTGTCGCTCCAGATCTGCGATATTTTGTGGTGCCTGTATCTGGCACTCTACTATGTCCCAGACAGATTTTATTGGTGAAAGGTCTGGTGACCTTGCTAGCCAAGGAAGAGTATCAACCACACGGAGACAGTCCAGAGATATGCGAGTGGTATGTGGTCTGGCATTATCTTGTTGGAAAATGGCCCCAGGATGATGTACCATGAAGGGTAAGGCAACCAGCCGCAGGATGGTATCAACATAGCGTTGAGCTGTTAAAGATGTACGAAGGATGTCTAATGATGACCTGCTGTCATAAGAAATGGCACCCCACACCATCACACCAGGGGTTATGGCTATATGCCCATGTAAAACAAAGGCTGATTGGGACCACTGGCCCTGTCCTCTCCATACACAAACATGGTGGTCATCTGCTTCAAGAGTGAAGCGAGATTCATCGTTGAACACATACAATGTCAGTCTGATGGCAGCCATGATGATTGGCGACACCACTCCAGACGACTCCGCTGATGTTGTGGGGTTAAAGGTAAACATCTTAAAGGCCTCTGTGAGCATAACCCCATCTCGGACAAGCGTTGTGAATTGGTGAAGGGTACCATGGGAGGTATAGATGTGGCTGTAGTGCGTTTGAATAGTCGACAATGATACCGTTGGGGTGGTTCGGGCCTGACAAACAACCCTCCTATCTTGCCTCGCATTTGTGATCCTTGGCCTTCCAGAGCCTTCGTTTATTGGCAATTTCCTTGTAGCAAGTATTGCTGCCAACATTTTTGCACAGCAGTGTCTATATGCTGCGTGTGGCAGCCTGTTTCTCGGTATGACCACCCAGCTTCATGCAACCCTACAATGCGATCACGTTCGAAGTCGTTTAGTTGTTTGTAAGGTCTTCAATATTGTCGTAATGGCATCTTTATTTGCTTCTTTATGGAATTACAATGGCAGCAACAAAAAAAGATAAATTTTCTGCCTCTGTTACTGGTTTTATACTTTGCAAATTGTGCACTAGAAATGTGCGCTATGATCACAATTCTTTTTCATTTGCCTTGGAACTTTGATCATTAGCATGTTCGATCAAGGTGTTTTTGCATACCAAATTTTGTCATGATCACAAAAGTCCTTCTTGATGCTTCGATTTTTTTGCAAAAGAGTGTATATAACACACTATATTTATGCTTCATATTTACTAGTCAAAACTGTACCTGCCAGTCCCATCCCATATTATTAGTGATATTTCTTCGTCATCTTTTGTTTTTTGAAATTGAGTACCACTTATGTGCTTCTTTACTCTAATAATTTCTTTTTTTAGATTTGCCAAGCTGTTAAAATAGTTCAAGAACATATTTTAGAAGCAGATAAAAAATTTGAGTCGTGCATGAGCTTGCTGCCTACTCTTCACGTAACATTAATGGTGATGCGGATAACTGATGAAGGCACCCATAAAAAGTATAACTATTGTTTACCTATTTAAATAAAAGTAATGTTTTATGAATGATTTATTAGTCTGTTTCATTTTATGCATTGTTCAGGATTAATTAACATTTTGTGTAAGCATGCATTTAAAGTATGTCTAGTCTTGTTTAGAAAAATGAATATTAATGCCCACATTTTGATAAATAATGTAATATTAGTCATCTTTGATTGCTTAACTCTTTGAAGGGCGGTGGTTACCTACAGTAACCACCTTTTCTATTGAACGTCTTACTCACTCGTGTGTTGGCAAATACAATAGTGGCTAGGAGTCTAAAATTTCATGGTCCAAGTGTGAAAAAACCAGTTATTCCAATCAAGAAACATAAGCCAGTAGTTGATGCAGCAATTCATCTTTAAGAAAATAAGCATCAACCATCAAAAACAACATCACGACGATGTGCACTCCGCAGCACCAAGATAAAGCCTGTAAGAACAGTGTGGGAGTGCAGCACATGCAAAGTTGCATTCTGCTTGAAAAAGAAAAACTGTTTTCACGAGTACTATAGAGACTGATTTGTAGGGATGTGTTCTGTGGGCGGTGGTCACTGACACTAACCACTAGAAATGGTCATTTTTTTGGACAAAGTATGTGTAATTGTCGCAAATAATTTTATTGTAACATCTGCTATAGTACATAAAACAAGAGTTTTGCTGAAAAAGTTAATTTCCTTTTCCTGCCCCTCAAAGAGTTAAATGAAAATTCTCTTTGTTATGATATTGTACTTTAATATTCTTCTGTGTTTTCAGTTAATTGACTATGATGGTGGTGGTAACTCACCACTGAACAGACAGCTGTTCAAAGTGAAATTTTCAGCTTAGTATCTGCCAGTAGAAAAAAAAACTGTTTATCTTCAAGATCAATCCAGATGTCGTGAACATTGTGAGTTTAAGAGAAAATAATTAGCGGTTTGTTAAAATTTAGATCAGATGAAAGATCTTTTAATATATAGCATTTTAATACTATTTAGCACAGTGTAATAGGTTCATTTTACAATACGCAACATCCACAAAAATGATCGTTACAACGCAGGTCAATCATCCATCTTTAGAATAACAATCTCTCTCGTTGCCATTCCGTAACAGAGAAACTTACCTCTTATGCAGTTTGATCGTGGCACGACATTCTCCCCACCTTGAGTTTGGGGATACAAACTCAAAACAATAACATAATGATAATACATACATACAATTTTGAGATAACAATAATGTACATAATAATAATAGAAATATTTCAAAATATTAGAATTCAAATTAAAATCAATATTTTAGAGTTCAAACACAGAAAGTTCAAAAGTTTGTTTAGAAGTTTATAAGTCCAGTCTGTTAACTGGTTTTATTTTTCGTCCTGAGCGAGACACGTGAACAGTTTCATTAGAGTCAGTATTAAGCTCAGGATTTTCAGCTATCACTTCCGAAACCTTCTGAGGTTCCGATACGACTTGCTCGTAGTTTGAATTCCAAAGGGTACAGTCGTTGTATTGGTCTTAATATGTTTCCCTTTTCAGTTCGTAGTTTCACAAGTCTGATGATTCTATCTTTTCCTGGAAAGAGTTCCAGTACTCTCCCTAGCAGCCAATGGAGCCTATTTTTATAATCTGTACCAATTAACACTATGTCCCCTACATGTATTTTATCTTCTCTTTTGTTAACTGAAGAACGAAGGAAACCCAGATGCTCCCTTTTAAACCTTCGTTTTAGATTTTCACGAACCTTTTGAATATGTCTCCATCTCAAAACAATATTAGTCTTTTCAATTTGATCCAAATCAGGAACATCATTTAATGGAATGTCCTGAAGAAACATTGAGGGGGTCAAGGTCTTCATATCTTGTTCCTCGGATACGTAAGTTAATGGTCTGCTGTTCATGATAGATTCGCATTAACAGACGAGAGTCTGCAATTCCTCGTAAGACAAACAGGAGCATCCAAGATTTTTTCTTAAAAGATCTTTCAAAATCCCAATCAAGCATTCCCAGAAGCCTCCCCACCATGGAGAGGAGGGTGGGTTAAACTTCCAACGAATTTCGTTGACTCACTTTCAATTTAAATTCACTTTCAATTGTAGTCCAATCTAATAGTTTCAGAGCGTTGTTTAGTCCTGTAAAATTAGTACCATTGTCTGAATACATCACAGAAATTCGTCTTCTTCTGTCTATAAACCTACGCATAGCTTGGATGAAGTCATTGGTACTCAGTGAAGGTATTAGCTCAAGATGGACGGCTCTAAATATGGCGCAAGTAAAAAGTACTATCCACACCTTTTGTTTAGATTTAGTCAACAGAGGTCCAGCTATATCTACACCTGATACTTAAAAAACTGCTGCTACTTCTGTTCGGTCTTTTGGAAGAGGTGGAAAAGGTACCTCAAGATGTTTTACCTTTTGCCTTTTACATATTGAGCATTCTTTAATAACACTCCGGACAGTTCTTTTCCCTTTCACTATCCAAAATCTTTCCCATAAAATAGTCAGTAGAGTTAATGTCCCAGCATGCTTGTTAGCAATATGTTCTTGGGCTATAAATCTTCTCACTGCCAGGTGTTTCGATGGTAGAATTATTGGAGAAATAAAATCTTTCGATTCTTCCTCATTTATCAATCTGGACTTCAATCGTAAAATTCCTTCTTCATCTTCAAATATTAGAAGACCTTTCAAATTTTTTCGTGTTTCTTCATTAGAGTAACATTCCTTTTGTATTACACGGAAAATAATCTTTTGTACATTTAACAATTCTTCATTTTTAAGTTCCGTACATTTTCTTAAGTCTTTGGCCTTTGGTTGAAAACGCAGTATCCAAGCCATAACCCTAATCATCTTTGAAAATCTAGAGAATCTTCTGGCTAACTGTAATGGAATTGACTCTAGCTCTGTGTTACTAGCAGAGATGACTGACTTTTGTTTCTCCATCTCTATTTCTTTCTCGTTAATATTTACAGCTGACTTTGGCCACTGCTCCTTCAGATTCTTCAACCAGGCTGGCCCTTGCCACCACTTGCGTTTCTGAAGTTGCCTAGGTCCACAACCTCTTGACAAAATGTCTGCTGGATTCTGGTCAGTTGAAATATGGAACCAATCTTCCGAAATTGTCAATTTTCTAATTTCACTTATTCTGTTTGTAACGAATACCGACCACTGTTCTCGACGAGTTATCCACACAAGAACTGTGGAAGAATCTGTCCAAAAGTAAGTCTTGATGTTGGGAAGTTTTAGAGCTTGCTTCACAGAACTAAACAGCCTAGCACCTATGGTAGCAGCCATTAATTCAAGACGTGGTATAGTAATAGTCTTCGTTGGAGTTATTCGTGATTGTGATTTGGCTTGAAGTAATTGAACAGTCACTGAACCCATACTGGATTCACTTCTTAAGAAAATGCATGCCGCATAAGCTGTCTTACTGGCATCGACAAAAGTATGGATACTTAAATTGGATTCCTTCATCACACCTAACCATCTTTGGAATTTTTATATTTTTGAAGTATTTCAGTTGTTTTCCCCATTTAAAAAATTTTTTCTTTATTTCATCATTCACTTCATCATCCCATGATTCTTTGCTCTTCCAAGCGGCCTGCAGCAAAATCTTAGGCTGAATCATAACAGGTGCAAGGAAACCTATGGGATCAAATACTCGACTAACTAGTGAAAGTATTTTCTTTTAGTTACCTTATCAGGTTCAATGTTCCGTCTAACCTTCTTCGGGAACATGCAAGACCTGACTCGGAACAGAGAGCTTACTAAAGCTATGTTCAACAATGTGGGAAGTAGACAGGATACACAGAAGGGTATACAAAACCCTTTATTTTTCTCATTTACAATAACTTCCGTACTTCGGAATACACAACCCGCTACTTGGGGTCTAACGTAAAAATATAAAAATAGAACTAAACTCTAATTAACTTTAAAATAATAAACTGGAAATGGCCTATATTAACAGGAAGCCGTATGTACAGAGAACTGGAACACTACAATACGTTTAAAATTTATCAGAGGATTAAAACCTCTGGCCTGGAAGGCAACCAGCAACTGCGTAAAACCTCTAAGGTAAGCGGCCTGCTTCGACTCACTGCTTCCTCTCTCTCTCTTGGCAAAAAGCCGCAACTTAAATACTTGGCGTTCGCCAGACAAACTTTGCATAAATACTTTAATGCTTATAATTCTGGCCGGAAGTAAAAAATAAGAAGTGATAGTAAAGATTTAAAATAAAATAAACGTTAGTAAAACTTAAGATCCTTACAACCTTTTCTCTTTCATCAAATTTCAAAAATTCGATGTCTATTTCTATGGTATCTAAATCTAAGAAAAAACCAGTCCTAATACCGGTGATGTTTTACTTTCTGAAAATGCAGGAATGCCAGAACTTTCCCATCCTCTGAGATCAAACATTCCTTCTTTCATTACATTAGTTGCAGGTTCAATGAATATTTCTAGTTTGGCATTATTTTGTACACTAGTTATGCAATTATCGACATAAAAACTATCTTGTAATTTTTTAAGAAGCTCTTCAGAATATTTTTCTTTCCACGATTCTTTGGATAAATGATGGTCAATAAATAACTACCACCATACCACACGGATGTGAAAAAAGTCTTCACGGGTGTGACGAAATGTACCATACCAAAGAAAGTAAAAAATCTCTTTAGAGATTCTGTAAAAATTTAGAGATTCTGAAATCTGATGTCTGAAATCACACCAATTTCATGTAAGCGAAATCTTGCTAGAATAGAAGGAATAGTTTCAATCAAATTAATTCCAGTCTCTAAGCAATCATTTAGAGATGGCTGATTAGGAAGCTTTGCCGAAGCATCAAAAACGGGTCTAATTTTCATGGAAGATAGTGAGGACGTTTCCTTAATGACTGGACGATGTGGGAGGTAATGAACAACGGGTAAAGACAACTCCTTTTGGGGAACTTCTTCAATCACTCCTTCCTGCAGCCATTCATTAAAGACTTCATGATACCTTTCACGATATCCGATTT